CAAACACCCCTTGAGGGGCGTTAATTGACCGGTGGAGGTGGAGGGGGATCCGGGGAGGTTCAATTAACGTTAGTGGGAAACTGGAATTAAAATAAAAATGAAAGCTAGAGGCAGAAGTCAACCTTTCTTTCTTTTGTCAGGTTAAAAAAAAAAAGAAGGTCTTTTTTTTGTTTTGAAAGAAGAAGAATGGAAATTAAAAGCATGGAAACTTATCCAAAAAAAATTAAAAAGATGGAAAATAGGAATGAAGGAGAGCAGGATTGGAACCAAATGCAAATTTTTTTTTGGTTATCGAAGAAATTATATTATAATAAAATCTTGGTGATGTTTAGGATGTAGCACTCATCACTATGATGAGATCTGAACCATTAAAAAAATTTAACGGTCTAAATTTAACCTGGAGTCTACAACTTTTCTACCCTTGAGGTTATCAATCTTAATCTAGGTAAAATTGCAAAAAAAAAAAAAAAAACCTTTGAGAATTACAAAATCCCAGATCAAAAATTCTCACAAAATTTTTTTTGTCATTTGCAAATTAATTCTTGTCAAAACTAGTTAAAGTACTATCATGATTCCTAATATGAGATTTTGTATTAGATTAGCTTGGCACTCAAGAGCAGGTGAATTTGGTAATCAATAAAAATTTCTATAACTTAAGAAAGGTTGATACGAGTCAGTTGCATTAGTTTTAGCATGTGTCCCGTTTTATTTACAGATTGTATAACTGATTGAGTGTTGGTAAGAAATTATTAGTCTATAAATATCCCTTAATTATAATTTCTATGTTCTATTGAGGAAAGAATACACATGTGCTCTTCTCTCTATGTGTTGCATAACATTTTGGCATTAGAGTTGACTTTCCGACAGCACCACCATCATGCCGGAAATAGGATTTGGTATACGGATCGATGATCTTGAGCATCATTTCGACTTGCACACCACTGCCATGGAGTGTAATCGTGTCCAATTGGAACGAAACTCCTTAGATATAAGTGAACTAAAGACTTAGGCACTATTCTTACATAGCAAGGCCACCCAATTACTTTTGCCAGCAAGCCTCTTAGTCCTTGAAAACAATCACTATTTGCTTAGGAACTAAACTTATGGCAGTTATATTTGCTGTACAGCAATAGAGATCTTCCTCGGTTGGCTCTGTTTTTACTATCAAGACAGATCATTTACCCTTGAAGCATTTGTTAAAGCAGAAATTAGTGTCAAATTAATTTAAGTTGCTCAATAAGTTATGGGGACTGACTTATGAGATTGAGTATGCGAAAAGGAAAGACAATAAATTCATGGATGCCCTCTATTGCCAATTTGATGTTTCATCAGCTGCAATATTAATTCCTATGACTGAATTACATACTAAAGTGAAACAAACATAGGTTATTGATGATCATGTGCAGCAACTTATTAAAGATTTAGATAGCTGGATCCTACTTCTTGTCCCAAGTATACGTGGCAATAACAATTGTTGAAGTGGAATGGAAAATTGGTAGTGGGCATTGATCACTTATTATGACATGACTTGCTTTCTTTCCTTCATTCAGATCCTATGGGAGGACAATCTAGTACCACTGCTACTTATGAAAGGCTTGCTTTGTCTTTTATTGGAAAGGAATGTAGCATGATGTGAGGGGGTTTATTAGTTTATGTTCTACTTGTCAGCATTTTAAATCTAAACATGTTGCTTTACCTGGGTTGTTAGAACCTTTATCTATTCTAGATTATGTGTGGTCTGAGTTTTCTATGAATTTAATTAGTGGCTTGCTTCTCTCACATTCTAAAATAATTATTTTGGCAGCTATTGATAGAATTAGCAAAGTTGCACATTTTTAGCGTCAAATGTAGCTCTCCTCTTTCTTGATAATATTGTTGAACTTCATGAGTTTCCCAAGTCCATTGTGATTGATCGTGATCCTCTTTTTTGTGGAAAATTCTGGAAGGAAATCTTTCAGCTCTATGGTGTTAAGTTGATTACTCTTCAGCCTATCATGCACAGTCAGATGCTGAGGTTTTGAATCGCTACCTCGAATGTTACTTAAGGTGTATGACTAGTGACTTTCCAAAGCAATGGGTTCATTAGCTTTCTTTGGCTAAACTATGGTATAATACTACCTATCATTCTTTTATAGGCATGACTCCATTTAAGATGGTTTATGGCATCCCTCCACCAATTCATTTATGTTGTCCACCTAGAGATTCATCAAATGATCCTATTGATCACCTATGCACATCACGTGCAACAACCATTTACGTGTTAAAAGATAGACTCTTGAAAGCTTAGCACCACATGATCCAACAAGTCAATAAGCACCATATTGAAAGGGAATTTTCGATTAGAGACATTGTTTATCTTAAGCTTCACCCATTTTTGCAAAAATTTAATCTATAATTCTGCATTACATAAGCTTGCTGCCTAGTATTTTAGACCATTTGAAGTTGTTAAACGAGTTGGGAAGGGTACCCATGAACTTAAACTCACCCTTGAAACAATGGTGCATCCAGTTTTTCATGTTTTAATTTATTGTTGAAGAAATGTTTAGTCAGGGTCTTCCAGTTGCTACTTTATTGCCTATGATAGATGGCAAGGCTCGATTTTCTCTTGAATTTGAGTGCATTCTTTGCTATAAGCTTGTCAAGTGTGGTTTATTGCTTTTTACTCAAGTTCTACTTCATTGGAATCATAGCATATTTAAGCACACCACTTAGGAGGATCTTTCCTTCCTCAAACAGCAATTTCTTATGTTTGATTATTCTGATCCACCATCCAATATCATCCTTGTGAACAAGGATATTCTTTAGGTTTGGTGTAAATGATATAAGTCGATTGCATTAGTTTTAGCACGTCCCATTTTAGTTACAGATTGTGTATAACTAATTGAGTGTTAGTAAGGGATTATTAGCCTATAAATATCCCTTAATTGTAGTCTCCATATTTTGTTGAGGAATTAATACACACGTGCCTCTCTCTCTCTCTCTCTGTGTATGCAGAAACAAATAAGCAAGTGATACAACAATCAATATAAATAATTATGCTAGAATTGATAAAAATATAAAAGAAAAGAGTATCCAAACTATAAACCTTGATCTACGTCTAGTCCCAAAAAATCTTCTGGGATTTTCCATTATATATCACATATGTTTGATCCAGACACTTGTAAAACCAATCGAATCCTTTAAGTTTGATCTTAGCATGTCTTTGCAATTCCTCAAGTTTGATTCGGACACGTAAGACATCACTACAATTCTTTCCAAGGTTAATCTTGTCCTTAATCCCAAGGGAACACTCTCCCTTGTGGTTACACAAATTACTCACGAAAACTTTCGTAAAGAGTGAGACGAGAGAGGTTGAGATGAGAGAATGATAATTGATGGCTCAAGAGGAATGATTTTATGATAGAGAATATATAAATATGAATCCAATCATTTCAACTTTTGCTCATGTTTCCTCTCTTTTCCTTGCACGTTAAACTTGTTTAGAGGGGCATATTTATAAACCCATATGTGAAATAATTGTTAGAAAGAACTAGCTATATATTGCTGTTAGAAACTAACCATGTTTAGCCATTGGAGAACTTTTCTAACTACTTGATGTGTTAGAGATTAAGATATTAATCAATATATTATCATTTTGGAATACTGAACTTTGAAGCTCGTTAATGTGATGTTGGTCATGAAGACTAGCCCGCTAGAGATTTTCCAGACAGTAAAAAAATGATGATGATGCGTTTGCCAAGAAGGCTTAGTACATTAGACAGAGGAATATTGGAACTTTGCTCTGGACAATATAGATAACACATTAAAACATCGATGTTAACATATTAGGAGTTTTCTATAGTATATATAAGTTATTCTACTAAGATGTTTAACGCATTAGCAGAATTTGCTTAGTTCATTCTTCAGAATTAGAATAACAAGATTCATACATCATATTACATCTGGTCCTTAATATAAAAGTTAGTTGAAGATTTAATTTGATCATAAATATAAGATCTCAATTCACATTGTCTCCAATATTTATCTATTTTGCCCTCAAGCAATCCATATGGTGATTACAGATGTCAAAGAGTTTTCACCAAAAGGTAATTTTAATACACATGACAACATCCATTTATTATAGATAATTAACGTATCTAACTTTCTCAATACTCATAATTTAGTTATCTATCTCTTATATTAAAAACTAGAGGTAAACTTTTTGTGGAGTGATCAGATTGAAACTCATATGAATGATCAACATGTTAGGCAGAAGATCTAGCGATTGACGAGATAAGTTCATAAGATTTAGAAAATCAACCATGCACAGATTAACACATTAGCACTTAAGATACACGTATTAAAGATTGGGAAAAAAAAACTCTTTTAAGCTTTATAGTAAGAATTCTAGATTTTTCATCCACTTGAGTAGATTAACTGATTAGTCCAAATGACAATCGTGTTAAATGTGTTTCAAGCCACACTAAATGAGAGGAGACTAGTCAAAAGCAGTATAAATCGAGCTAAAACAAATCTGAGAACCAATCAAAAATCGGGAGAACTTCCGAGACTAAGAAATTTACTACTTCAATCTTTTTCAAATAATTTTGCACCGTTGCTTCAATAAAAATGTTTTCCCTATGTTACTATTATCACACGCATTATTCTTCCATGTAACTATTACACACATACGCTTCATGCGTATTATAATGAATTGAAGATAGATTCTCATCAGTTGACAATTTTGAGTCCAGTATATGACTATGGGAGAATATTAATTTATCATTAAATTAAGTTAAGAAATAATTTAGTGATTCATATTATTTTTTTTGTTTCCCATGTAATAATTTAGCATGTAAAATAAAAAATATACCAATTTTATATGGTCAAACGAAATATAAAGGAACCAATGCCTTAGTCAAAATAATAAGGGTGCAATTTTAAAAAGGATAACAGTTGTAATTTCAAATTTGAATATAATTCTAGCAAAATGACCAAAATAACAACTATTGCTTTATGAAAAAAAAATTCACAATTTATTGTGGGTAGCGTAATTCAATACCATTTGTCTTTCCTCTGTCACATATATTTCGATCAAACTTGAGCGTTAACATCACTCCAGAGAGCAAAACTGATTTCTAGTTATTGAAACCAACTTTATTACTTTCTTCCACATCAGTAACTTCTGTTAACAGTGCCCTTTCTTCCTCACGTTTTCCTTCTTCTTCAGTTTCCTCTGCACATTCTTGTAGCTGCAACGCATATTCTAGGCTCCACTCAACTTCACTCATCGATGGTCGTTCATTTGGGTCATCTTCCAAACATTTTAACGCCATGTCGCTGAATGCTTTAAGGCTCTCTGGTCTGATACTTTCTATTATGAACGAATCAACAGTTTCACAAATCACGCCCTCATGATGGCATTTTCTGACCCATTCTACTAAGCTTGCCTTCTCCTTCTCCAAAGTCCGTAAGAAAGGTGGCCTCCCACACAATACTTCGAGTAATACCACGCCAAACGAATAAACATCAGACTTTAGAGTCAACCTTTGGCGTTTATAGTATTCTGGATCCAAGTAACCAATGCTTCCTTTCACCACAGTGGTAATATGAGACCTGGACATTCCTGTGGGTCCTATTTTTGATAATCCAAAGTCAGAAAACTTAGCCACCCATTTTTCGTCAAGTAAAATGTTCGTCGTCTTCACGTCGCGATGAATGATATTTCGTATCGCGCCTGCATGAAGATAATGTAGTCCTTGCGCTGCACTCCGGCAAATTTTCAGCCTCTGTTTCCAGGAAAGGGGGTGGTTGTTAGAATTGTAAAGATGGTCACGGAGGGTCCCACGAGCCATGAACTCGTAGACGAGGATCATTTCGTTGCCATCGTTGCAGTAGCCAATGAGAGATACTAAGTGATTGTGACGAAGTTGGGACAACATCTCAATCTCTGTTCGGAACTCATGGAGCCCTTGTTGCGACCCTTGTTTGAGTCGTTTGATTGCGACCGGAGTTTGACCGTCTTTAATGTAACCTTTGTAGACGTTGCCGAATCCTCCCACGCCGATGATGAAGAGTTCATCGAAGTTGTTGGTGGCGGCTCTGACCTCAGCAAGGGAAAAGCGATGGCACAGTTCCGTCGGCACAGCTGAGCCATTAGTAATACACTTACAAGTTCCATCACTCGACTTGATGTTCTTCCCACGAGTGATGAGGAAGAATGCGATGCTGGAAATCAAAATGACAATGGAAGCTGAAACACCTAAAATGACCCCGATTACAATCTTGCTTCTATTTTTTCTTGCTTGCTTTTGGGGTAGATCATTAGGATTGGGACGAGGTGGAGGAGGATCAGGGTTAGGTCCGGCGAGATTACTTTGTGAATCACTGATCTTGAAAATCTCAAGCCCATTTAAGAACCCGTCATTGTACTCCAACGGTGATTGCAAATCAGGATGCATTTTGAGTGAAAGATAAGCTGGTTTTGCATCACCTGAAATGATCACGGCATAGTCTTTATATACCGGAACTGCTTTTCCCTTTGCCCAATTTAAGACATTCGCACCATGCTCAGCTAACTGGTCGGCTATGTAAATATCAAATATCCTGTTGTAGGAAATGTTGATATCTGGATTAAGCTCACAAAAATGGAGTCTCAGCATGTAGGTAAAGCCTGAATCGACGGGAAACTCCCAAGTAAGGTTAGTGTTCATGTTCAAAGTCTTGTTCATTCCCATATCGCGTTCTGTTCGATAGAGTTCCTCAGGTGCTGTGTAATTAGGAACTTTAGTGAACATCAGGGGTCTTCTCTCACCTTCAAAATCAGCGGGTGAAAAATAACTTTTAACAGAGAAACTGTCATCGCTGTCCCAATATCGGAGCATTCCCGTGTCTTTCGTAGCTGAGATAATTCTGCCACCGACGTTTAGCCTGTACTCTGTCTGAAGAGCAACGCTGTCGGAGATGCTGAACCCGGCCACCGACCCAATTAATTTGAATCCTAAGTCGTCAGGTTTGGTGTAATAGAGATCTTCAGGCATGGAGACAATCTCAATTCCATTAACAAACGCATAAGAACTCGGGTGTGTTGAAGTGGGAGTGAAAGTTAAGTTGAGCCTCTCGCCATCCCCGACGTTGACGCAATATTCTATGAAGATGGTATCTTCACGGTGAGCATCGGCCGTGACCGAAGCATTGAAATCCTTAAGGAGTGTGAACCCGCCAGATTTGACAGTGAAGAAGGCATCGAAACGATCAAAACCCGGGTACCAAGCTGGGTAGAAGAAGAGACGAAGGAATTTCTGGCCTGGAGAGACGGGGAATGAATATGAGAACCGAGAGCGAGAGAGACGAGCCGTGGTGTAGGGGACTTGTTGGGCAGAAGGAGATTGAGTAAGCGCCGTAGCTGGAACAGATTCGTCCTGTTTGGATAAGAACTTTGAATCGTTGTCTCCGGTCCATGTCCGACCATTTCCCGTTGAGTTGCCGGAGCTGCCACAGTTAATGCTTAAAAGATCATCGGGGGTGTAAAGAGAAGCAAGTGTGGAAGCGTAAAGCAGGGGGAAACAGAGGAAGAAGATGGTTCTTAATGATGCAGAACTGGCATGATTATTGAAGCTCATCTCTGGAAGAAGCAGACGAAGGCTGGTTTTCATGGAGGTAAATTTTGTAGTGCAGAAACTGAAATCTGTTCCCGATAAGTAGGAGTTGGGTTTACGAATGCCGGTAGTTGCGTGCTAGGAAGCTTCGCGGGAGACTTCAAAGTGTATACAAAAATAAAAATCGTCCGTAGACTTTTGTACTTTCATGCCACGTGGACCAATAATAGCTGTGGAATCGCATAAACGGTCATGGGGACATGGACTACACATGTGATAGAGCAACAATTTAGGGGATCCACTTACATGAGTCCATGCTCTTTTCCATCCCAATATACTTTCTCCTATCTTTTTGGATTGATTTTTTCAGTACTACCTCCGGATAGCCGATTGACTAATATGAGGAGATTAAAGAAATAAGTTGAGTTAGTTATTTGTCCTAAATAGGTGTTATCTTTCCTAAAATATCCTTGCTAATCAAATATATTGACTATAACTATAATTATTAGAAGGACTATCTTGGAAAAAATTGAGTAAATATGAGAGACAAAGTGGATTAGGGTCTTATATTTAAGACTAAAATAAAAGTCAAATAGGGTTTTATATTAAGGATCGGAGGTAATATCTTTTTTCCAAAGTTCTAGATTGTTTAGATGACATCATTTAATTGATTACTTTTGATTTATTCTTTTATGCTTAATATTTTAATAATATTTTTATGAAAAATATTGGAGGATTAGGGAGATGCCGGGGACTAATTTGCTCAAAATTTGGTTGAGGATTGGGTTCATTTTGGTTAGTTTCTCCGTGTTTGTTTTAGGGTTTGGTGGTGGAGGAGGATAAGCAAGGAAAGATAGGACGTATCGGTATTATTTTGTGGCGCTTCACCGTGACCATCAGGAGGAGGAAGATGACGACTTTCAAAAAAATGATGATGGTTCAGAATTTGAATAGATAATATTAATAGGGGTGTTCACGGGACGGATCGGGACCGGAACAAGCCCGTCCCGGTTCCGTCCCGATGAACAGTAACGGGACAGATTTTCTGTCCCGTGTCCCGGCCCGTCCCGAGGTTGTCCCGGTCCCAGTCGGGACAGGACGGATCCGGGACGGGACCGGGACGTCCCGAAATAATTCTTTTTAATTTTTTTTTAATTTTTTTAAAAAAATCTGATTTTTTTAATTATATTTTTTTGAGCTTAAATCTTATAAAAACATCTTTTTTATTTGTTTGGGCACTCTTAAATAAAAGCTCAAAATATTACATATAATAGTTATTAAAAACTCTAACCAAAAGCTTTTAACACAATAAAAACTTGCTAAAAATTCTAATCATCAATAATCTCAAATCATTAACAAATATAAAAACTCTAAATAAATATATCCATAGTTCCATACAATAGTCTCAAATTTTAAAAAAATATGAAAAAAATGATATTATATAAAAAATTAAAAAAATTATTATTTTTTTTTAAAAAGGGACCAGGACGAGACCGAGACGGGACGACCCCGTCCCGTGTCCCGTCCCGTCCCGGTTTGTCCCGTCCCGAAAAATTTCGGGACGGATCCGTCCCGTTCCAATAAGACCGGGAACGGAACGGGCCGACCGGGACGGACTGGTTTTGAACACCCCTAGATAATAATATGACATGATGACTTTTGAAATTTAGAAATGTTATGTTATATAAGCTGAAAAAATTAAGGGGAGCAAGGGCAAAAAAAAAAAATTAAGGGGAGGGAAATAAAAGGGTGGTCTCTTCAACTCCCCAATAAACTTCCTTGAGATCGGTCCTTTGGTATAATTGACGTAGATGACTGTCGTTTAAACCAGATTTTCAAGGAACCGATGTGAAGAGAACTTCAAATATTATTTTTAAATTTATTTTTTTACTTATTTATACTAGCTTCCAAAGTTGATACGAAGATGTCGGGTGTAAATAATGCTCGTTATGTTGTATATGTAAAGAACCGGTGTAAAACTTGCACCAGTATTTTAAAAAAAAAGTCAATGTTCACATTTTTAACATCATTATGGCATGAACGGTGTAAACAATACGGTTTGAAAAAAGATTTTTTTTTTAATAAGGGAAGTGTGCATTGCATTTGTTTGATGGACATAGTGGTGTTTTTCTTTTAAAGAAACAAGAAAAGAAGTAAAGAACAATGAGGAATTAGTTGAGATGACGTCGAGCCACGATACGCGCATGTGAGTCGCGGGTCCAAATTGGAATCCTTTCAATCCCAGTATTCAAGGCATCCCTTCTTGTCCACTAACTTTGGCATCAAGGGTCCCTTGGATTTGTGTGTGGAAAATGATTTTTTCCCCCATTAATATATATATATATATATCATTACCATTAGTTCTAGTGATCTCTTTCTTCGGTTTTTTGTTTTTTGTCATTTTCTCTTCTTTATACCAAGGAGAAAGAAATGTTTTCACTTTTTATCTGCAAATTGAGTTAAATTGAATTTTTGTTTTTTTATTACCATCTCGTGTGTTTAATATTTTTTTTTATTACCATCTTGTGTGTTTAATATAAAAACTAGTAGAGGAACTAAATTTAGTCTTATATATAATACATCAATCCGTTTTATCTTCCTTGTTTATCCAAACTAAATCTATTAATTGCATATGTTAACAGAATCTGTATCAAAAGATAGTTTCAATTCAAATAATTTAAGAGGATATTTAAAAAAACTAACATATATTTTGATAAATAACTAATTTAATTATTTTTCCTAGTCTATTTAATTAATTAAGTTAGATCTTAATTACGGATAGGAGTTTAGTATAATATAAGGACCAAACAATAATGATCCCTAACAATAGCGTGATATTTGATTGGTATATTTAGGAAAATCAATGCGACGTACCACGTCCATTTTTCACCACTGCCTTAGTGCCTTCCCGTCAGTCTTCCGTTTCATTACCATCCCCTTGAATGAGATACATCCCACCACACCTTTATCCCCACTAAAGATAAAATTAGAATGAAAAAGAGAAATAGCAAATAAATACTCTTAATATGTGAAATTACAATTTAGGACTCTCAGTTTGAAAAGTAACAGATAAAGACCCAATCTCATATTATAAATATGAAATCTTGGTGAAATGTTTGAAATATCCCTCAATCAAGTTGTGATTTGGTCTACTGAAGTTATCATTCACTAAAGTGAATTTATCATTTCTCACAGTCAATTTGTCATTTGACATACTCTTAGCCAAATTGTGATTTGGTCTACTAAAATTATCATTTGCTAAAATGAACTTATCATTTCTCATAGTTAACTTGTCACTTGGTCGAGGGGCATTTCAGACGTTTTACCAATATTTCATATTTGCAATATGAGATTGATTCTTTAGTCGTCATTTTCTAAATTGAGAGCCTCAAATCACAATTTTATATATTAGGGGTTTTTATTTGCCATTTTCCCAATAAAAAATCATATAAAGAATGATAAAGCTTAATTTAGTCTTTTATAAAAATTATTTTTGTATAGAATAGTAAATTAATTATTTACCTTACTTTCATTATTTACCTTACTTTCATTTATTAATTATAAAAAATTAATAAATTTAAATATTTTATAAATATAAAAAGAAAATACTTACATTATATCTCTTACTTTCATTATCTTAAGTTCTCCAATCACAAATAGTTATTTGTCTTTTATTTTTATATGAATTTGTAGTTTAACCATAATATTTTAAAAATTAGGATACATGATTATGATTATGTGTAATTAAAAATTTAACTTAATTAAAAATTATGTGTCATTTATTTATTTATTAGAAAACCCTGGATTTCCATGGTTTACTTTTCATTTTCAACGAGTCGCCTTGAGGTCCTTTGCTTTAATAGACGACCATGGCCTGTGAATAAACAATACTCACACAGCACCAAAGCTCTCGAAAAGCAAAAATGAAGAAGACGCTCTCACTAATCTTCCTCATGCTCATGATCCTACAGGTTCACGCAGATCTGAGCAGGGCAACCTCAGGGAACCTCAACCACAGCTTCACAGCCGAGTGCGGCTCCGGCGACTGCCTCATCGGCGGTGAAGTCGACGAGGTCGCCGAGTTCCAGATGAATTCTCACGCAGCAAGGATGCTTTACGATGTCCGCAGGTCTCTGACCGGGAGAACGCCGAACCGGGATCAGGCTTCTGTGGATTGCCCTCAAAAGCAAGGATACCGAACCTGCCTTCCCTCTGCAAATGGAGGCCCTCCGAAACAAAAATGCGGCGATTACACTCGAAATTGCTGAGAAATTACTGAGTTTCTTGTGGTTTGATTAAAGATTTTAAGTTTAATTGTAATCTGATGGTGTTTTTGTTGCTTTGTTTCAACGCTTTCGGTTCTCCTGTATATGTAATTCTGGGTTTGTACCGCTTTCTGTGTATCGTGAGAAGGAATAATAGTGAATCGCATCTGTGATAAAATAATAAAAGATTGTGATTA